CTATTGAGAAAGTGTTTTAAGATTACTGGCTTGTTGCACTCAGATAATTTTGGCCTATTACAAAAGCAAGGTCATTTTCTCTTCAGACCACAAGTTTTATGTGCTAATTATCGTATTAGTAGTTTTTCTCTTTTGGATTTCCATGAAGTTGGGAGGCTTGTAAAAGCCACATTTAAAAACTAGACAGCACTCAGATTGCAAACCTCCACCAAGCGGCAACACAGTTCCCCATATTCCCATGATAGTTGATCCCATGATGATTCCCTCATTATATGGTTGCTTGACAATGAAAATCAATATTTGGAACAACACTGATATCTTTAGTCTATTAGTTTGAGAAAATTGCTGAAGAAAAACAACCAAACAGACATTCACTTGGCTTAGGGGTAAAATTGGGACTTCATTTAGTGGACCGCTCCTTAGGTTGTGACAGTGGAAATGCAGCTGGAACACCAGCATCCTCACCAACAGAATACTGTGCTCTGAATGAAATGTGGCTGTTAGAGATGTGTCCACTCCAATCCTATATCAGTATCAGGTCCGATATTAACATCATTCACTCATCAGATATTGAGCACACAGGGCCGATCCACTTACTGATCCATACTCCAGTCTGCAGCTTGTGCTGGACCACAAACCCACCATAACCTAACATACATAACATGAGATGTCACCAATCCATATTCCATTCCACAGCTTATCATAAACTTGCCAAAACTTCAGTCTGTATGCTAGTGAACAAATAACATTAACTGTTGATCTGACTAAAATGTTGTTTGTTTGGAGCTATTTTAGTTTGGAAATGGCAATAAGCTCGACAGCTACTTGTAATGTGTGTAACGCTAACTTTTGGAGCTGGACCCATAGGCACTAAAGGGTGTCTGTGCTTCTGCTCCTTGTGAGTCCCTATTAAGACAGCTGTATGCTTCTTGCTGCAGACTCTGCAAACACTTGCAGGTGCCCACAAACTTCCATAATTACATGGACCCAGTGTGTGCCTCTCAAAATTTTATTGAGCCAACTTCGCACAGCTCTTTGTTGATGGTTGGCTATGTATGTGGAAACCCTCAATATAACCGCTTCCTTTTGAGTCTCCTTCCAAAACACACCTATACTCAGATAACCAATGAAATTATAAAGACCTGAAGAAAAAATAATAATAATAAAATCCAGGACACAGGTTTTACAACATCGACATCATGATGATCAGCTTCTCCTGCTTTCTTCTTCTACAGTAGCCTTCCTGTGTTCTTGTTATGTTGGAGTAACAACAGTGCCTGAGTGAATGAAAGTGCTGCTCATGTGAGTATGTACACATGGGGTACACCCCACTCCCTTAATTGATCATTCTTCTTTCCTTGATTCTCGCTTGACCTAGAAGTCTTTCCGGTCCACCAGCTTGAAGGACATCACAGAACCCTTATTCCTGCTCTGAGGAATGAGGATTGAGGAGCGACAAGACTGCCTAGTGGAGCCATGAGTGACAATAGACAAGACTATCCTTTGCTAAAGTCTGTTATAGAGCAACACCTCTTTATAGAAAATCAGTTGTTGTTTAGTCACTTCACATGAGGGATCAGAGAACAAGGTGTCTCATGTCTCTAAAAACATGTTCCCTCAAATCCTCTCTCCTCCCATTTATCCCTTTTATTCTCACATTTTACAGGGGCAGGACTAAGACACAAGTCAAACGCCATTTTCACACATGAACTCCAGACTGTGCCTTTGGAATCATGTCCAGACTGTGTCTAGAGTTGCTCTTTCACGCATGTAGCACATGACAGGAGATGGTCCATGCCAGATGTGTTCTTACAAACTGGAAATACTCTGATTTATGCGGGGTGGGGCTGGGTAGAGCACGCAGGAGGCAGGACGTGATGGAGTCATACAGCCAGTTTGTAGTTTGGTCATTAAGGAGTCTCTTGCCATTCCTTAAAGCCCTTCTAACCAACTTTTACCATCAAACTATCCACCGTTAGACATTGAGTGAGAATCAAACCAAACTCAGGCAGTATCCCCTCCTCTGCTCCCTCCACTCATCCTTGCCCCTCCTGCCCTCTCTGTGAAACTACATCATATGTGGATAATAACAGTTGGAGACAGACTCGTTGTCAGGCAGCTCAGCAGCAAAGCTAGGTTCAGATAGGACGGGGTATGCACTGTGCTCACCGTGGGTGCACCACAGGGGAGGGGGGCGCACACATGCAAATCGCACCCATGTTGGGCGCCAGTTGCTAGGCAACCAACAAGCTTTCCACAAGGTGGTTAGCAGATATTAACAAATTTTTTGAGCAGCAGACTTGAAAGCACAGTGCATCTATCTACATGTCACCGAAGAGCTCTGGATTTAGTTGTACTGATGAGAAGGAGGAGACAAGCTGCAGCAAAAAAGAAGAGGGTGTGGGTTCACCAAAATTAACTTCTCCATTTTCTTTGTGGTCTGTCAAGTGCTCTGCAATTGGACTCTTTGAGGTGTCATCATAGAGCGCTGAGCCCAAGTTAAACTTTTTTTTTTACTTCCGAGCAGCACACAGGGACGGCACGCGTGACCTTGAGCTGTGCTCAGCTCAGCACAGATAAGTTCTTGCACTGTGCAACACATACAACACATTGAAATGAATGGGTTTGATAGCAGAGTGCAGCGCCCACCATGTCCCTGAAAACGGGTTTAGGCGGCAGAGTGAACTGTAGTGAACGGGAAGAAAGCAAACGCTAACTTTATGCAGTTAACGGTGACGTCAGATGAAAGGTGTATGAAAATGGGTTGAATTCTTGAGGACAGGGAGGCAGGGAGCAGAGCAGGTGTGTGTCCAGCAGAGAGGACAGGGTGAAGCCACAGACAGGAGCCAGTTTAGCATAAGAGCTTCAGCCTCGTTAAATTAAAGCTGCATTAACTAAGATTTAGCACAAAATCAGATAAATCAAGTAAAAATTTGTCTAGAAGTATTGTCTCCCTGCTGTACTAACCTCCCATCCCACTATGTTATATTCAGCCCTCAGCATTAAAAGCATCCAAAGGATTCAAATTTGGTGCAGATGTGGCTTTCTTACTGTTAGATGCCCAAGTACTGTAGCTGGCTAACATGTATATGTATATGTATATGTATATGTAGGCATCATTAGCAAGCTAATGTTAGCTTTTCACCTTTTTACCTTTGTATTGAATTATTCTGGTTGTAATTTGGAGTCATTCCAACTGACTGCAATGTTAGTGTTTTGTTGTCCAGTTAGCAGAAACAAGCGTGTTTTCCTAGAGTAGCAAATGAAGTAACTTTGCTAATTTTTGCTTGGTTTTGGTCCAGTTTATGTTGGAAATAAGACAACAGACCATGTAGCATTTTAGTGAGAAGGTGTTCAAATTTACACCATCTACACACCTAGAAAAGTGGGGAGTTTGTTCAACTATCAAGGTGTAGCATGACATTTCTCTTCTTTCACAAACAACTCGCAGTTATGTGTGTCAAATATGTAACACTGAATGTGATGGCCGGAACATTAATACTGTATAAATATTACAGCTTTAAACATTTATATTTCTGATTGTGATAATATGAGCTCCTAAAATGTGACGTTCTGGTCAGGGGGTTGTGAAATAATCACATTCTAACACAGGACCGCACTGCTACAAAGGTTAAAATCCACTGTGTTACAGTATGCTGGGTAGCAGGCTACAGAAATTCAGTCAGTTACATATTATTCAGTAGGAATGGTGGCAGTGCTGTGTTTATTACAAAGTTTTCAAGTAATTTGCACAGCCTCCTGTTACATAGGATATTCTGTTTAATCACTATCTGAATGTACATCTCACGAAATTAAAAACTTTCTCTAAAGTCATTACACGTTTATGGTAATTGTTGTTTTTTGCAGTATAAACTGTAGTTTTTTATTGTGGAATCATTGCATCAATAACTACTCTAAGTACTTGTACTTGTACTTGGTGTGAAAAACATGGTATTGGTGCATTCCTATATGAAACTTGCAGAAACCCTGTATATAAATAGGATTATGTTTTTTTTCTTTTAAGAGCTTGAACGATCTGCTGACATCTAACATGTGGCAGACAGGTGAAGCTGTTTACTCCTGGCTGCTCAGTATCACTTGGCTACATAACAGAACTAGTGTTCAGTCACCAACACACTGCCTTCCTACCACTCTCCAGTAAGATTACAGGGTGATGTTGACAGCACAGTTCTGTGCCTCCATGCCTCCCCTCTTCTCCAGCCTTCTCCCTGACTTCAGAGTGATAGAAGTCATTATTGCTCCTGACCATGAAAGAGACGCAGAGCTTGTTTGAGTCTTCCAGTGGCCAAGCTAGAAAAACAGTATCTGCCTCCCAGACCAGAGTCCTAATCAGTGGAACTATGTCATGTGTAGAGAAAGAAGTGTGAAGTGAAAACCTTGACCAGACTGACAGGGTCAGATCTGTTTGGTGTGCTGTGGGTAGAAGTGAATCATTTACTGCTTGCAAACCAATGATGGTAAGATGATGTCATGGGGTAGGACTGGATAAGTCTGACTTCTTCCTACTCTATTCAAGCATGTACTAGGTATAAGCAAATTGATATTGGATTATGTGTAAAATTATGTGTGTTGTCATATCAACTGTTTTTACATGCTTGAAAGAATAAATCAAATCAAAAATCAAATCAAATCAAGTACTTTTTCCTGACAGCATGTTTTATCTTACTGATGTATCAGTCAAGTTTATAGTATATAAATTCATTTTATTGCCTGCTTTAAGGCTCTGTTAGCCTGTTTGTGTTTTTGTTTCTACATTTTATTTCTTATTGTTGATGTAATCTTCCACTCTCACATTCACTCAAAAGAGTTATGATCCAAATGGGTTTTTACACACAGTGCAGTTGTTTGTATCATAGCCGCACAGTCATTTTATCTTTATTTAATGTGTTTTGATTTTTCTAATTATTTACTTTTATGATTTATTCCTCCAGTTTCTTCTAAAGCAGCCTAATGTCTTTTCTTTCTCTTGTTGGCCACAGATTGTAGATAATGGGCTGTGTGCAATGCAAAGATAAAGAAGCAACCAAACTCACAGACGACCGAGACACCAGCATCTCCCAAGGAGCAGGCTACCGCTATGGGGTTGACCCCACGCCGCAGCACTACCCCAACTTCGGGGTCACCGCTATACCCAACTACAACAACTTCCACGCCCCTGTCGGACAGGGAATGACTGTATTCGGAGGCATCAGCACTTCTTCCCACACTGGAACCCTGAGGACTCGTGGAGGGACAGGTAAGGGACATGTGATGTTCAAAGCCAGTTAGGAATAGTCAATCAGAAATGTGTGATGACCACTGACAGTTTCAGTTTTATGCTTGCACTTGCTGTTTAAATATAACATATCAAGAATAATATTCTGGGCAAGTGGAAATTTAAGGTTAGTGTTATGATCATACTATGTAACTAACTGTGTGGGATCTCAGCAATCAATAAACCAGTTTATGCCTAGCACCCACATCGGCCAACTTAATGGAACACTGGAACATTGCAAACCACAGCTGTGCTGCATTTAATTCTTGTTACTGGTGTGAAGGTTAGAAAGCCAAAGTGTTTTAATCAAACAGTCTGTCATGGCAAAAGGTGAAGGAAACTGGACCCTACTGCAGCACTCTGAAACCAGTCGGTTGGTTCAGTGGTTTATTTGGTAGGAGAGGCAGAGGTAGGGGAGAGGGGAGCTGAGTCAGAGGAATTGGCACAGGGCTTCAGGGACCGGTGGCAGGTGTGCATCAAGGAGGAGTAGAGCAGTGTACAGGCTGGTGGCGGCTCAGCGGTGGACCGGGCTGCGGGGTAGTGAGCTCAAGGCTGACAGGAGAGGGGTGCTGGCACAGGAGTTCAGGTTGACTCACCACAGGGAAAATCTAGAAGCAGGAAAACAGAGGATTACACAAGGAAACAGGCATAATGGGTGATACCCAGAGAGACTAGCCGGGGCGCGTCTTACTACTAGCGTAGCTGAGGAAATGATCTGGCGAAGGTTGGAAAGGACACCAGAGGCAATATACTGCCATCTTTATTGAATAATGGGAGCTAAGTGAGCCAGCATTGGTCTGTCAGGAGGAGGCGGGGAGGTCTCCTGCCACACATATCCACACAAAAACGCAGCTGGGATGAGGCACAGGAGAACGAGGAAAAAGGAGAGAGCACCGGCCAGTTTCAAGCCAGCCAGTGTAAGCATATGGCATATTCTCTTTTTTTTACAGTCTGCTCCCCCTACTCTATGTTATCATATGAAAAGCAGCAGGCCCTTCTATCTGCAGTCTGTCAGCAAGAGCCTCCCCTACCCTCTTCATATCAACACTGTTTTTCAGAAAATCTCAGCTTGGTGGAAGTGTCTCAAGTGAAATGACTTGAATAAATGCAACAGAGAGGTTAAACAGACTTTGAAGAAGTGCACATTCAACTTCCATTCATCAAGTCCTCAGAGGCATTAAACAGCTCAACAGCTGCAGTCACCTCAGAGCTCAGGAAAAGACTTTTAGTGCTGCTTATTCCAACACATCTTTTATGATATGAGGCAAGAAAAATCAAGCTGGCCTCAGACACTGACCTAGCTGGACATTGAAAGCTCTTAAAGGATAATCCCAGTTATTACAATTCATTCATTTTTGTAGTTTTTTTTTTATTTTGGCATTCAGACTTATTGGTATTAGCATGAATGCAAGAAACACAAAAAGCCAGTCAATTAGATAGGTTGTAAACAAACCCACAGATGAATTACCTTAGTCAACACATGAAAGTGAAAATGGAGGCGAACTGTAACATTTTTACCTAAACTGTCCATCATGAACATTAAATCTAACTCCTGCTCTGACTCAAGGTCTACTTACTCACTTTTTCCAAAACTCTTAACCTCAACTAACAGTCTGTGTGGGCTTCATCTAGTCTTAAAGTAACAAACTGAAATTCTCTTTTAATATCCCCATATCTTCATGCTGTAGTTTCTTTTAACTAGTGTTTACACATTTTTTTGTAAATGGCATATAGCCCACTATCTTGAAAATTATTGATAAGCATTATATAATTATCAGAAATCCCCCATAAGATCAAACCTTAGTCTGTCTTTAAACTAGAACTTTAGTTCTCTGCCTTGTTTTTTCTTAGTAATTCACAGATTAATACCTTTACGGATCATTAGTGATACTGTGCATGTGCCATTTGATTTGTTTTAATCATAATTGTGATGTGGCTTCTGCCTGAGCACGGACCACAGTAAAAATCTAGGGTTGCCACAATGGAAAATATTGCGACACTGCAATTTTTTGTATTTAGCTGTGTATTTACTGATGATGTAAATGAGCACAATCAGCAAACATATTTGAGAACGGCAGTCACACAGTTTCTTGCCAGTAACACAGCTGCCACGCTGACAACAGAGCAACAGATTTTCCACCTGCTTTCTCATAACGTTAAATTTCAGCTGCAGTTCCCTCTGTTGCAGCGATGGTAAATCAGGCACTGAGGTTATTGCATAAATTTAATTTTTCTCCTTACTCATTTTTTCATCCACGAATGGGAACTCCTTAAAATACATATTGCATGAGATCCAACACACAAAGTCCTCTTCTCATCCAGTAAGTTTTATCAGTCATCATTAGACACAGTTTCACTCAGTAGAACTGTATTTTCAGATTAATTACATTAAGCCACTAGTGTGGCTTCACACTTTGCTAGTTTTGCACTGATAGATTACAATTTTCTCAATAACTCTCTTGCTGTGGTGTGAATACCTTGGGTTACATTGAGAGTTTTGGACACAAAGTGTGTAAAAACATTTTTTTGTACCTTTCTGCTCTGTTTCAGCCACTGCAATGCTCCCAGCCATACCCTTCAGTAGAGTTGTTGGTGAGATAATACTGCAGTGGCTGAAAAGGTTTTTCAGGCCACTGGTCTTTGTCTCGAGAGGTTTTATCCTGCCTGATGGGAGTCAAACTGGAGTGAGGCAGCACAAATCTCAACGTCTCTCCAGGGATTAATTTGTGCTGAAACGAGCTGGATCCGGATCTGGCACTTCTCAAATTGTTGAAATGAATAGTCTATAAAAAGTCCAAGATCTTATGCTTTGTCTACACCTAACCTTTTACAACAGCATTTGAGAATAAAATTGGAATAAACATATAATTAAAAGAGGCATTTAGACTAATTACATCACAACATAACCAGCCCATGCAGGTCACACTGGGTCAGGTGCACATTCAGTGTAACGTTATGTTGGATGCAGAACGAAGATGTGAAAAAGCCAGGTGAATTTGCTAAACTATTTCAAGTCACAGCAGGGCAAAGCTAGTTACAGATCAGAAGCTAAACAGGCCAAGCCGGACGCACTTATAAAGCCCACAACTGTTAATGAAAAGTTTAGTACAAGCCACTCTGATGCTGACGTCATGGATTTCAAAAGTACATAGGACTGAAGCAACGCACAAAATAGCATGAAACAGGACTCCTGCCTGCCCCATGACAGCGTTATGGGCTTTTTTACATAATGGGAGGTAAGAACATGTTTATTTAACATTAGTGCATTATATAGTCTCTGTTCTTTAAATTTGTTGCTGTAATATGTTAATGTGTAGCAGAGTACTCAGGCCCCAAATATAATGTCACGCTAGCTATTGATTGAACAGATTAGAGGCCGTAGTCTCACAGTCCTAATGTATTTACAGTAGCATCAATTGAGCTCAACATTTACCATTGTCACTCACATTTGCAAATGCATGTCTTCTTATGTGAGTTTTTTGGTTGCTACAAACACACAACAAATAATGTTTTGCCTCTAAGCTGCTCCTTTAATGTGAAAACTACACAAATGCACCAGTCAATGAGGAAATGTCATTGACAGACATGCCATGTCTGTCACCAAGTGATATTCCAAGACCTCATAATTTACAAATTAAACACTGCTTCTCTCACTCTATAGTTCACTGTCTGAAGTAACCCCCTGGCTTCCCTGGGCTCACATCAGTGTAGTTCATTTTTGTTGCTATTCTGAATGACTGCAGTGCTGCCCTCCTCCTGGCTGCACCGCCTTCCTCTTATCAGAATCAGAATCAGAATCAGCTTTATTGGCCAGGTGTGTTGGACACACAAGGAATTTGACTCTGGTACATCGGCTCTCAATGTGCATGTACATATCCCCCATACAAGGGACAAATAAAACAAGAATTCAACCAAGAAACCAAAGTTATTTCTCCAAGAAATCATTGCCTTTGTCTTGCAGCCAGATTACAAAATTATAAAAAGACCAGTCATACTTCAAACTGAGAAAAAAGTAATAAAAAAATGAAATTGTGGCTTTCTTGATTTTCTTATTACTAATTTGAGGAATGTTATAATCCCAGTGCCGCTCCACACAAAACTGTTTAATCTGCTGCTGTATTTGTCTTTTCAGTGGACATTTAGTCAACATGCTTCTTGAATGTCATGATTCATTTATCACGTTTCCATTGCATTTTTATCAGTGCACTTTTCTACTATAGCCAAGTATAAAATCTTTTTTGTACTGTTTAAAGTTTTTTCTCTAGGATTTCTATTCAGATTCTTTAACTGGCAAATGGAAAATGTGCATAAAAACCGGCAGATGGAAACACACTTTCCATAATTATCTTTGCTGGTGTTTGATCATGAAATAAAAAGTATTTGACATATTTTGACCCGATGGAGACACTAGATGAAGAGTCATCACTGAAGCATTCTGTTTCATCTTTAGGGGAGCATAAAGATCATTACCAAATTTCATGTCTTTGTGTGTGTTTGGCTTCATCCTCTGGGAGCCATGAATAGCAGTACTAAATTTCATACCAATTCACCAAATAAATGTTGAAATATTTAACTGGATATGTGAGATTTTTATCCTGCTGATGGCACCAGCACAGGCTCATCAGAATGGTACACCATCCAATAGTTGTCGAGATATTTCAGTCTGGACTTAGGAACTCCCCCTACAGCCAGCATGAGTAAAAATAACCTTCAAGAGGATCAGCAGCATTTAAAGTTAAAGTTTGTTGTCAGCTGTGAAATTTAATGAGTTTCCAATAAATGTACACAACTCACTAACAGCTAAACCAGAGATTGCTCCTTTTTCATTGAATGCACTGGAAGCCCCAGTGCGCTGTCATTGTGGTTCTACGCTTCATTTTCCCTTACTAATCTGCCAAGCGCTGACACTGAGTTTTTATCCCTCGTGCAGGAGTCACCCTCTTTGTGGCACTTTATGACTATGAGGCACGGACAGAAGATGACCTCAGCTTCAGGAAAGGAGAGAGGTTCCAGATTATCAACAGCACGTAAGTTGCTGCAGCTGCTTATCAGACTGTCTGCACTCAGTGGGTAATGCAAGTTTCCCAGTTTATCACTGTCTCTGAAAGGATGGGTTTAGCTGCTGGGATGGGAGCAGAAAGGGCTTCACATTTCAGCTGAAAGTGGCATCTTGACATAGAAATGAAGTGTTTTGGCTTCCAAATCTGGAGCAAGATAGACCCCAATATGTGTGCTTCTCAGTTTGGGGAACTATAGTATGAAACTATAAAAAGCATGCTTAACCACTACAACCAACCTGGCAAACTCAGTGTTGAAAACTGACTCATTTTACAGATGTACAAAGGTTTCAGTCCAATGAAAATGGTTAAGGAGGCCAGAACTGACAGCAGCTTTATATAGAGTGTAATATTAAAGGCTGCAGAGCATGTTATATGAGGTAAAAGTGGTGGCTTGAGCAACAATATGACAATCAGCAGTAAACGCTGTTTTTTTAGGGTTTACATGAGGTGGAGCAGGGTCTCCAGCCAGAAGTGATGAGTGTGGTGTTCCTTGAAGATTTCCTTCTGAACTTGGACAGGAAGTGCCCCTTACACCCATAGTGATGTGTGATGTAGGCCAGTCTTTCTTCCAGTCATCAGAACTGCAGGCAGCCTGTGTATGTATATGTGTAGACAGAAGGAGAGACACGATCATCTGCCAGCTCTTTAACCATCCTGGACTCAGAGTGCACATGGTTTATTTTCTTCCTTTCTACATGAGACTGTCTCTCAGGCTGCTGGAGCGGACCTCTGCTGCCATCTGTTTGTTTGGGTTTCGGTGATGGGATGTAGACATTCTAGGACGCGGAGGCCTGCTGGGCCTGTGCTCTGGCCCTATTCTCTTTTATATATCATTATAATTAGTTTGCTATGACTCCAGTGTTTTATAATGAGGCTGATTACCTGGATGTAGACCTCACTACACTGCTGGGTCTCTGATTTCTGTGCAAACCGATTAACAGCAGTCACCCAGCGGTAATGACATTTGAAAGCAGGCCTATTATTAGTATGGGTTCTGGATAACTAAGTGTAAACTAAGAGTTTAATTGGTTATTCAAGTGAAACATAAGTGACAACTATGGAATGGTATTTACAATATCAGTCAAGTTAATAAGTCACTATGACCTTTTGACAAAATTGGTCATTGCACTTAATAATTGTACTTAATGTACTGTACATAATAATGGTAGTAATGCTGGACACTGGTGCTGCTCTCCCAGTTTGGACCACAGCACTGCATTTGCAAGCTTTATAACTTATTAAGTGCAATTTTTTGATTAGGAATAAATTATACTGTATTTTTTCTGACCATTTTCAGCTGCATTCTATTTAGTTTTAGATTTTTGGATGTATTTGAACTACTTCTCCACATGCTGGTTTCCATTAGTGTCTGTATAGCATGAAAATCAGTGAGCAGGCTTTTGAAACATTCTTGAGTTGTCCTGTTCTTCACAGTGAACATCAATCCCACATTCATTTGTTAAATCTTATACTATAGTCCCTTGGTGATGTTTAAGAACCAAATGATTTTTAAAATCTGCATCTGCTCTCTGAATCACACCAGTAATGGAATTTGAATGAAATGTTCATTATGACAGATTACACACGTCAAGCAAAAGCCTACTAAACCAGTTTAAAAAGTAAACTGTAGTTCTTAAATAGTCCTGTGGTCCTATAAGATTCACTTACATCAGGCAAATACCAATATTGTAAGAGCATGTAAATGCTCTCCAATTTTATACTTGCATATTTCTGTGCATTCCTATATTTCTGTTTGGTGTTCTGGGACATTCCTTGTACTTGGAGTCATGAGTTCAGTGTTTCGAAAAAAACACACTATGGCCCTGGATTTGTAGGGCAGGCTGTGTGCACATGTGAGGTGAAATCCAGGGCAAAAATAAAACACAGTGTGCACAAATTCCCTGTGGTCCCTAGTGGAACTCACACCCTTGGCTGGATTACTCATAATAGGCCAAATAATGTTACCTTTTAAAGCACTAGTGTTTGTATCAGTATATTTGTTTCTTTCCTCTAATCAAGCACAAACAGTGCTTTCACACAAGCACACAGTATCTCAAATCAAAAATGTTGCTGGTTATGGTATATACCATAAGCATCATCTCATCTCATTTTCTATACCGCTTAGTCCCGAACGGGGTCGCGGGGGGAGCTGGAGCCAATCCCAGCCGGCATCGGGCAAAAGGCAGGGTACACCCCGGGACAGGTCGCCGGTCCATCGTAGGGCCAACACGCTGACAAACAACCACACACACACACATTCACTCCTACGGGCAATTTAGAGTCACCAATCAACCTAAGCTGCATGTCTTTGGACAGTACCCTAAACATCTTCTCCTGATGAATTATAAAAACTCTCTGCTGTGTATGGCTGCCTTATCACTTCAGCCTTTGGCTCCTCAGGGTCAGTCTTCGTCCTCACCACACCCTGATAGCATCCTGTCATGGCCGGTGTCTCACACATTCCACCACATACCTCTGTCCCTGTTGGGCCTCAGCTAGAGCAGGAAGACAGCATCATTAGAGCGCAGACTCCCTGCT